TGGGGCTGGGCCACCTAAAACCTGCAGTCAGAAACCAAGTCTCCCACACGGGTGGTGGGGACCCCGGTCCTGGAGCCATCAGCTGCTGCTGCCCTCCAACACCTGGGGAGGAAACTGAGTCAGAAACAGATGCATGGACTTCACACAGCCCTCTAACATAGACAGTAGTAATCAGAACTTCGTTGTTTGTGCCATGAAGAAATGTGAGTACACAGAACCTTGCCATTTATTCCAAACAAGGATGAATTTAGCATAATATCAATTGTTTTTTCCAAACTCCGTATCTGTCACAGTTTATGGGAGTTGTTAAAGTGTAAAATTTACCTATATAAACAAAAATACAATGATTAGGGAAGGTTTGAAGCAGAGAGATCTTTATTTGATTCATTCTGCAAGTATTCTGAACCTTCTGAGTTACGGCAGGCTGACTGGGAGCCAGGAACTCCACCTACATCTCCTATGTAGGTGGCAGGAGTGCAGGTGCTTGGGCCCTCTTGCACCACCTTCCATGGTGTGTACAGAAGCAAGAAGCCGAATTGGAAGCACACAGTAGCTGGGGCCCAGAACCAGCACTGGACAGGGAACTCTGACACAGGATGGAGGCATTGTTGGCAGAAGCTTAAATCACTGAGCTACCTGCCCCCTCAATTCTAAATTTTAAATAAGGCAAATATTTTTGCTATCTAGGGATAGTTTGAAATCCTGCTTTTATTCAGCTCCAATATCTGAAGCCTCCAGTATTTTCTCCACTCTTTGAATGAATGTTATCTGAGCTGTTTTTTCTCTGCAGGAGCATTGTATGATAGAGAATATATTTCAACTGCATTTTTTTTAATATAGTGAGTTATTAGAATTGACTGCTTCGGAATCTGTTTCATTGTATCACTAGTGGTTAGTATGTTGTAATAGTCGAGGTTAGGAACCACCTGAGACATGACTGTTAGAGTAATAGTGCAGACAGTGAACAGTACTAAGATGAGCTTGGTGAAAGGAAGGGATGTTTGGACCAAATGTTACAAGGTGAACTTGGTTTTAGAGCATCAGCAGTCTGTTAGCTCTCATCCATATGGACCTTAACAATGCTGCAGAAGTTACTTTCACGACTAGCTGAACAGGCCTGGCTTTCCTGCCTCCCTTGTGGCACTTTTACCCACACTCTCATCAAGGTAGAAACAAAATATAAACGCAGATTTGAGCAGTGTCAGTGATCAGAATGTCTTTTCAGATTGTTGAATTCTTAAAGAGAACTAGAAAAGCTGTGAACGTACTAGAAGTAACTGATTTAGAATGCAATCAGGAACAAAACCATACTATGCAGACTGAATGGGTTTGTCCTATTTACACTTAAGGACTAGACACAGAAACTGCACTAATGATTTTGCCACATGTGAAGAAACTTTCATGGGATTAAGGAGAATTGTTTTTAAACATAGTTGATTTCCGCTGATTTTTATTTCCCAGTACTCTATTCAGTAAGTGCCCAAAGCATAAATGTTCCCCAGGTTATATTTCTTACTTTCTGCCTTTATTCAGTCTAAACTATTTCTTTTCATCTTTCAGGCTTTTGAACATTTGCAACAATTAGAATTAATAAAGCCCATTGAAAGAACTTCAGTAAATTCGCAGAGAGAATACCAGCTAATGAAACTACTTTTGGACAATACTCAAATTATGAATGCTCTGCAGAAATACCCCAACTGTCCTACAGATGTTAGGCAGTGGGCAACGTCCTCACTGAGTTGGCTATGAATGTAACTTCAATCCTTGGCATTTTGAATTGTACTTTAACAAGATATGTTACAACATTTTCTTGTAAACATTTTTTTATTTATTGGACTGTTGGACATCTAAATGGATTGCCTTTTTCTTACCTCCAAATCCTGTGCAATTGTATGATTTATAATTTGAGTGATTTTAGCTTATGCTGTGACATTTTACTCAAAAGATAAAATAGGGGATTGTGTTCTAGGGATTATACATAAATATATATATGTGTGTGTATATATATGTATGTACACACTTATATAAGTGTATATAATACATACATGTTATATGTATTGTATATATTATATATACACACTTATATATATAAGTAACACTTGTGTTTATTTAGTCCATTTGAAGAATTCATTTCAAACTGGTAGCCAGATAAAGGTGTAGAACTGAGCTGTCAGAAGTAACATTGTGGTGTTGCAGGAATTGCTGTAACTTTTTCTTTCCACTTTGAAATCATGGATTCTAACCCTGAGCAGGTCTTTAGTTTAGGAGACTAGCCAGCTAAGCCCAAAAGTGATTCACATTAAGGAAACAACTCCAGAAAGTTTGAGCACTTTTATGTGTTCATATCATGCGCATTTGAATCCTTTATAGACTTTCTTCGTATGTTCTTGAGCCTCCCACGAACCAGAGGATCACTGTTTGCCTTATGAGATTTCTAGAAAACTACTCCTATGATTAATACAAAGTGTGGGCAATTAGCTGACTGGTAAATCACTAGGATGAATGTGGAAGTACAAATCAAAGCATGATTTTTAAAATTCTGGGATCTAAGCACTAACACGTTTATGTTAAAAATTAAGTTTAATGAGCATGAAATTTTGGCAATTTAATTTGTTCAAGAGTACTTGATTGCATATCATGTTCGCACAGGCTGGAAGTGACTGACAGACCACGGTATGCAACTTGAAATTGGCTGATTCCAGATCCTGTAGCCTTACGACCTGAAATCAAGAATAGGGTCCCTACCCAATTTTTTTTGAGTATAAGATGGACATAATCTGAATTTAAAACATGTTTTCTATGTAAAAATTGAGATATGTAAGAATTACAACTTGGCACGCATAGACATTCCTTCCCCACAGAAAGTTCTTGGTCTTCAAATCACTGTTACTTTCCAGTATTATCTCATTAAAGCTAAGGCTTGCATAGTGCTTCAATGCCATAGTCTACACATTTTTAGGGGGATAGTTTTCCAAAATATTTAACCACAGTAGCATCAATATTTCTAAAAGAATCTATTTAGAAAAGTACTATCTGCCTTAAAAGGTTAACAGTCTGATGGCAAAAGTTTATGAACATAAAATCCCACTTAGAAGCTGAGAGCCATTTTGTGCCTCCTTGGCAATAGGAGATACAGATCACTCAGAAACAGGTATCTAGGGCCTGGTGTGGTGGTGCAGTGGTTAAGGTCCTCGCCTTGCATGCGCGGGATCCCATAGGGGTGCCGGTTCTAATCCCGGCAGCCCTGCTTCCCATCCAGCTCCCTGCCTGTGGCCTGGGAAAGCAGTCGAGGGCAGCCCAAAGCTTTGGGATCCTGCACCCGCATGGGAGACCCGGAAGTGGCTCCTGGCTTTGGATTGGCTCAGCTCCAGCCATTGCGGCTGCCTGGGGAGTGAATCATTAGACAGAAGATCTTCCTCTCTGTCTCTCCTCTCTGTATATCTGCCTTTCCGATAAAAATAAAAGGGCATCTATAAAATAAAAGGGCATCTATAAAAAAAAACCAACAGGTTGCTGCAGTGGTGTAGCAAGCTAACCTGTGTGGTGCCAGCATCCCATGTGGGCGTCAGTTTGTGTCCCAACTGTCCCACTGCCCATCCAGCTTTCTGCTTATGGCCTGAGAAGATAGCAGAGGACGGTTCAAGTCCTTGGGCCCCCGTACCCACGGAGAAGATCTGGAAGAAGCTCTTGACTCCCAGCTCCAGCTGTTGCAGCCATTTGGAGAGTGAACCAGCAGAAGGAAGATCTGCCTGTCCCTCTCTGACTTTCAAGTAAAAATAAATAAATCTGTAGGGGGGGAAAAAACAGGAGAGGTTTCATTTTCATTGAATTCAGTTTCCAGATTCAAAAGCAGGTGTTTTACCTTAAGGCAGGATTTCCTCCTGTGTCCCTTCCAAGGGGCATGTCAAGCATCTGGTCTTCCGGTCCTCCGGTGCACATGCTCTGAGAAATTCAATTCTGTGTGGTCCAAACGTACAATATGCCATATATGTTGAAAACAGTTCCTAAAGATTTTTTTTAAAACACATTGTGGGGAATAATTCCATCTTTCCCATAGAAGGTCCATTCAGATTTCACCATGGCTTTACATTTTCACTTCTTAGAATGCAGTGTGGATTTTCAAGTCATCGTCAATCTGAGGACCATCCCTTCACCTGTAGCCTTAAACATCTGAGACTCCAAGGGTTTTAGCTGTGACACAGTACCCACAAGTGTTGGCTTCCGGCATACACACTTGGGTGGAAATGTGCCACCCACAACAAAGGAGAGAAAAACACCAGACTTTGCAAAACTCTCCTCATTTACCACTAGCCCCACTCATGCAAGTCTCAAGGTGTCTCACTGAAGTACAAGGTTACTGTACCCTTCTATAAGAATATACAGCTAAAGAAAAACTGCATATGCAAATCATACCATATTCATTTTTTTATTTAACTTGGGGTGGAATGGGGACAGCATACATTTTATTTGTACAGTATTTAACAATCACTTAACCAAGGTGGGGTTCGTGGTTTTTTTTTTTTTTTTTTTTTTTAGATTTCTGTTAAATACTTGCAGAAAAAAATAGCAAGTACGATTTGACAGTAGTACAACAACCTGTGCCCAAAAACACTGACAGGAAATACAGAGTAAAGCTAAAGTAAGTGCTTACCAATATCTGAGAGGTAACAAATAGGACATGGGTTGAGACTGCATAAAAAACGTACTGCTGGTTGAATATCTGAGGTAAATGATGTTCAATCAAAATGCTACTTGTATCATTTTGCCCATAGATTGGTAATATTTTACGCACGTTATACCAAATGTTTCTAAAAAGTAATTTTTTCAAAAAGTAAAAAAGAGAAACTTGAAATTATCTATGGTGAAGCTTAAAAAAAAAAAACCTAATCAGTTTATCCCACCTATCATCTGGCCATGGCCTTCTGCTTTTACTTGGTGTAGCTACGTAGGAAGGGGACAGAAGAGATTCACTTCTTAATTTCATGATACAGGATTCTTAGTTTCTAAGTTTTAAACTTTTTTTCTTCCTGATTGTATTTTCAAAACATCAGCATGAGAGTGCAAGTTCATGGGACCAACAATTGTGAGGCACAGTCTCTGTTCTGGACTTGACACGGTACCTGTAATAAACATTCAAACAAGAATCACGTATCACATGCTGAAAACTTCCTAGCATCTAAAATACATACAAGAGCTGCGCAGGGCATAGACTTCAGATAAAGCCGAACACTGGTTACCCCATCGGTCCTATGGCAGTTGATCATAAAGCATTCCCCACAAGGTCTGGGCAAGGTAAAGAGTTAAGAGCAGCAGTTCCAAAAGAGATCAGAAAGGCAAAACACAGGACGAATCATGAGGAGCACCATACACATGAGGAAAAGTTCATGGGGGTCTCAGTTTGCCCCAAACAAATCACCATTTTTCTCATTCTTTGATCTTTTTTTTCCCAGTATCCCTAGTTCAAACTTGCTAATAACTTGCTCACTTGGTACTAACTGTAAACCAAACACTGAATGCCCTGCAAAAGAAAGTTTTAACAAGACTAGGTATCAGGACAGGTAGTCACTGGAACATTCTTATTTTACTGCTTATAAAACGGTTTCTATTCATACAGTTCTCAAAAGGATACAAGTTTCAAAATTGATTAGCTATAAGACTTAAGCATAATACCCAGGATTTCTAAAACCTGTTCCTAACATGAAGAGAAAGCATTTTATGTTCTGAGTAACTGATTTTGTAAAATTTCTCTAGTGCTCACGTACGCCAAACATTCACTATAATACCCCTTGTTGTTTAATTTTTTTACTTTTAAAAAGAGCATCAAATGTTTATAATAGGTAGAAAAGTTGCCACCAGGAGATTAACAATTTTGCATGCTCAATCTTTCCCTTCCTTGATTAATTTTAAAGTGGAAATAACCAAATCAGGAAATTGAGAGGCCAAGTGCTTTTTGAACTGAAGACCTGAATTCATCACTGAAATGAGGGTTCTTAGGAACACAGTAAGAACTTGGGTACATCTGTGACCAGGAACACAGTTCTCTAGGCTGTGTGGCACACCAACCAGAATGTTATTCTTTCCTTCCCTGCTTACAGTCTGTCGACCTATGTGTTGTATATAAATACTGTAATTTATTATTCCCAGAGACTAAGTGCATATTAATATGTAAAATGTAGTGTACTGTGTGGCTAAATAACCATTTGGAAATAACACATTCACAGTGAGATCCTGATAGTGACTTGTAAAAAATTCTTTCATAAAATTAAACTGTGGATTTTTTAGATGTCCTGACAATAGCACATAATACTGGATATTTGTCGGTTGTTGGTGAGCAAGCTAGATGTTTAGGAAATAGCTTTACTTTGGCCTTGTGTAAATTTTAGGAAGAATCCAATTATATATTCTAAATTGACTTCACAACCACTTTGGCACCTGCCTACCATCCACTCCACTTTGTTAGCAAGGATAAGGCAAAAACTACCCTAACGTCAGTTACCGATGAAAGCAGTTCTGGGCAGGAGGCTAGACTGTTACCTATACATTGGTTGCCTGTAAATGTCATTGCATATTTTAAGTTACAGATTTAACTTGTTATCCCTGATTTGTTTCAAAGCAGTAACATCTGAAATCTGTGCTTAAAGTTTAATATCTCTATACTAGATAATTTTTTACATACCACAGACATCAAATATTACTCTGACAAGATGGCACCAAGCAGGAGTATAATGATAAGTTACAAGTCTCACAGCAGAAAGTGAGAGATTTGGGGTAATGACACTTCCTGAGGTGATCCTAAAACAGTGATTAAGAATGTCCCACACACTGTTCAGTGAAAAGAAATACACTACAATTTTACATATATAAATAGGGAAAAATCTATTTTAAAAACAAAAATGAAGAGCTTTCCAGTGTCATAGCTCATGTAAAAAAAATTAAATCATGCCTTAAATTTTCAAAGACTCCCCAAACACAGCAAATTTTTAAAAATACTTAGGAAATAATGCATTCTTTCGGGATCTGGATATAAGATGGAACTTTTAAACTTGAGAGGAAGGGGGAGATGACACCATTTTTTCCTTTCAAAGTACATTACTATTTGCCCCTAAATTACAAGCCAGCACAAGAAAAAGCTAAAACACTGTTTTTACGAATGGCCACATAACATTGGCACTAAGCATAGCTTACCTGTTTTGCTTAAATAACACAGTGAATTTGTAATACCTTGTTACAAAACATGGATTGGTTTATTATTCAAATTTTGTTAGTGTTTTCAATTTTATAATTTAGCAACCGTGGAACTGAGGTATACCTTGTTGAGGGAGGTTAAAGTAATGCGTGGAAGCCTCTTCACTGTACCCCACTTGCTGACTTTGTTTATGTACACAGAACAGCAGCACACTCAACATTCACAAGCTGTGTCATATTGGCATTACAATAGTCATTGATAGAAACAACAACAGCAAATGCAATAAAAACAAGTTACCCTTTTTAAAATCTGAAATGAAGTTTTTGATTTAAAAAAAAAAATAGCAGTAGTTCATTTAAGGAATTAGTGTCTTCTGACAGACATTAAGAAATCTGATGTCAGTTTTCACTCAATTAGCCAGGTCCAAAAGATACTTGATTTGGAGAGGGCCACACTCTTCGCGTGAGCTTTCTCAGAAGCTTTTTTAGAGTTTGCAACTTGTCTTAGTCTCATGTCCTTCACATCTGTGCTGTAGGCAATGCAACATCTCCCAGAACCACATCTTCCAACAAGGGTCTTCTTTATGTTTCCAGGATCCATCCTACTTCGATTCACACAGAAAATAAACTGTAAGCAGTTTCATTAGCTTAGCAGCTCCAGTTCAGAGTCCCATTTCTCAGTGTGTACAGATGGTGTAACCATCATAGACTAGATTCTTTGGGAGGAAAGTCAACATTTGTCACCATCGTGACCACTGTTACAATGTCCTCTGTGGTAATGATATTTGTTAGTCTTTGCATCTGAGTAATTCTTTCACCTACACATCCAGCTGATAACCTGGCTTCTGCATCATGATCCCAACATTCTTCTATCGTTTCACAGAGCATCGCCATTCCCTAAAAGGAGACAGACACTGTCAAACACGACAGCAATTTGTTTTGGGAAAGTAAAGAATTTTGTCAAGAGGCTCAAAAGTTAAAGTTTCAAGACTTAAAACACTGACTTTTCTTGAGTACCATGTACAGGACAATGAAGAAAAACAAAAGGCTCTGGGAACTATCCTAACAAACATTTCTGACCTCTGAAATCCGCAGCAGTCTGTGCAGACACTGCATCATTTGAGTGCCATGCCTTGAACTGAATCCAAAAACAAGGTTAAAAGAAATCTTCCCTTTTACCATTTTCTTAGCTTAACATCAGCTTTTCTATCCTGGATATAAAAGCAATCGTGGAAGGCCATCCTTGAGAATTTTCTATGCATTTTTATCTGTGTTTCTAGTTTTATTTAGAGCAAACTGGCCCAAGTGATTCTGTGCCGTTTCATCCTTCATCTAGTCTAGTTTTAAAGCATGCCTAAGCACTTGAATGTCTTCCACGCCCAAATCAGAGGTGAGGGAAACCAAGTGCTGCATGAGCTTACTTAAACGGCAGTTACTGGAAGGTGGCGATTGGGCAGCCAGGGTGCCCGGCGACCGGGACCAACTGCACAGTCCTTGCACACATGCCTAACTGCTGCACCTAGAACTCCAGCAGAGAAGAGCCTGGCTGAACATCACCCTCTCAGAAACTCCTCCCGGAAGAGAAACATGCAGAGAGAAAAATCATTCCTCTGAAAAATGTTTGATTGGAATTTCAAATAGAAAGCTAGCTCTGTAACTTACAGCATGTTTCTGCCAATAATCTCTTAAAACAGGCCTCTTTTTTTTATGCACAACAACTTCCTGCATGTCTTCAAGAGAAGGATGCTGGCCAATTTCCTCCTCAAATGGCAACATGTACTCATCTACAGGTCCTGAAATGTAAAAAGGAAAAATCATTAAAATCCTCCTGCCTTCCAAAGTAGTACAAACTTTCTAAAATGCACTCTTTCACCTTTTCTAAAGGTGTTCAGATGGCCTAATGACAGAAGGCTGTTTTTACATTGTATTTTCACCAAATTTACGTGACTTTGCATAATGCCCTGAGAGGAAGGCACCCATTCCTTCACTGTAAACAGTGGCGGCTCCAGCTCTGGAGACTTGGGGCCCACCCCTCAAGTCACGTCGACTCTGTGGCATAATTACACCGTGCAGGCCCCACACGAGGCTCTGCTCTCACATCTCCACTGCCCTGCCTCACAAGAGCTGTCCAACACACTTTTTTTAAATCATTCTCTCCAACAGGAGTTTCCAACACATCAGAATGTGCCTTCACAGATACGATTTATTCAACAACAGGATCTTTTCCTTTGGCCTACCTGGATAAGTAAGCAAAAAATATTTAAGGAGTAATAATGTTTGATAGGCACTTTTCCCAACCAGTAATTAGCATATCCTCCAAAGACAATGGTGACATTACCTCTGCTTATAGATTTAACAGCTCAGGAAACATCAGAGCATGGTTAGTGTGGAGTCTGAACCTCTTTCTGGAGTCTGCAATCTCTGCCTTGTTCCTTCTTGACAGACTCAAGTCATCACTAAGCAACATCTGTGACCAGAAGGATTGTATGTGTGCACACAAACTTTGTGCAATACTCTTGATTAAAACAATGAATCCTGAAAGCGTTGTCTAAGTCAACTCTACAGCCTCTGCCAGCCCCTCCAACGACATAGAACACTGGCAAGTCAGGGCACTCAGCCATTGCGTAGTTCACAGGGCAGCTGCACTGGCATTAAGAGGCAGCTTACACAGATCTGCCTCTACACAGATCTGAGTCAATGCTACCAACATTCCAGAAGCCTGGTATGTACCACAAGGCTTGAAAGTTATCAAATGTAACCATTAACAAATGTTAAAACACTAACTTTAGCAATATTATCATACCATCCTAGTACCCCGAGTTTTGACTTAAACAGAAACACCTGACTGCATAAATAAAAATTCCATAATATATGCAAGATATTCAAGAAAAGCCAGCATCTACTCTTGTTCCATAAAACTTCCCTACTGGAGCTGGTGCTGTGGCAGAGCCCTGCAGTGCTACCATATTTGTGCCATTTTGAGTCCTAGCTGCTCCACTCACAATCCAGTCCTTGCTAATGCATGCAAGAAAGCAAAAAAAAGAAAAAGGTCGAAATTCTTTGGGCCCTGTACCCACACAGGAGACCGGGAGGAAACTCTTGCCTCCTGTCTTCATGTTGAACCATCCTTAGCCACTGTCATTGTCTGGGGGAGTAACCATGTATCTATCTCAGCTATTGCTTTCATCCAAAACTATATGGTGAATGCTTCCATATTGGGCACTGACCTTACTCCATAGTTAATTGTCCAGAACGTATTTTATCACCTTAAATAAACAGTATTACTTGAAGGTATCTGTATCCCTAATGACCTGATATAACACAAGTATATTTTAAAGTTCTTTCATTTCCTATTCATCTGCCACCTGGCCTACTTCTAGAAATGTATATAATGAATGTAATGCCTTTTCCACTTTGAGTCAAAACCCCACTCAGGCTATTCCTGCGCTGCTGCAGCGGGACTTCGATGCTGGATCCACTTCTAAGCCACACACCCACTCATGGACGAATCAATGAGTTTCTCAGTATTACACTAAGCAGTTTCTTTAAATATAACCTAACTCAAATTTCATCTTCCAGAGGTAGACTGTGCTAGAAGCTACTGCAGAGCCCAGAAAGTAACATTCTTAGGAACACAGATTATGTCCACTATGCCACTGTAAAAATTCCACACAGTTGGCCCAGTGTGGTAGCCTAGCAAGCCGTCGCCTTGCACACGCCAGCATCCCGTATGGCCGCTGCTTCTAATCCCAGCAGCCCCACTTGCCATCCAGCTCCCTACTTGTGGTCTGGGAAAGCAGTCAAGGATGGCCCAAAGCCTTGGGACCCTGCACCCATGCAGGAGAACCAGAAGAGGCTCTTGGCTTCAGATTGGCTCAGCTCCAGCCACTGCGGCCACCTGGGGAATGATTACTGGAAGGAAGATCTTCCTCTCTATATATCTGATTTTCCAATAAAAAACAAATCTTTTTTTAAAAATTCTACACAGCTTGTTCCTTGGACTTTGACAACTGCAGGAAGCCTTTAGGAAGTTCTATAAAATTATAAAACATATGTCAAGATCATTTACATCTGTTTGAAAGTTCAGTGGTCAGGAAGTTTGCCTTATGATTTTCCCAAGCAGTGCTACATCGCATCAGAGGAAAGAGTAGAGCCTCAAAGCAATAACTAGAGTAACTAGAACACTAGTTGGTCAATGATAAGAACACAGTTTGTGGGTCTACAAGACTGTAATAAACAGCAAATGTTTCTAGGACTTAATCAGGACGTTCACAGAACAAAAACTAGGAACTCTATAACCAAGGTGCTGTGGTAGAGAGCACACTGTGATTTAGGTCAGACCTTCGAAGCTTGAGGAAAGTGGAATGTAACCTGCAGCGTATCCACAAGCATGCTGCCAGTGCTGTGTCTTAGATGACAGCATGTAAATTAACCATAGGTGGATGCCGGCATCGCTGAGTGTGCCAAGGACCACGTCACAGGTCCTTCTCACCATGAGCTCTAGTGGAGAACTGAGAAGACAGGAGCTACACTTGATCCAAAGTATCAGCCCTTTTCTTAGATCTGGATCAGAGTTGAAAATGAGGTTTTCCACCATTTACCAGATGGAAATCAAAGCAACTAAGCTATTTCATTTCTGAGCCTCAATTTCCTCATCTCTTAAATAACCACTGACTACCACCAAAGCTATTGCAGCATGAAGCTGACGAGTATGTGAGGTATCCAGCGAAACACCTGGCAAGGTAAACAATCAAGATACAGGAGTTCTTTTTTTTTCCCCTGTCCCAGCCTCGCTTCCCTGCTGGTAGAATTCTCTACTTCCTTTTGGCATTTTAAAAATTCTTTTTCAAAATTTGGAAATACTATCTTGAAGTGTAATCATTCCTTCTCATACATGAATAGTAGGTACATGTACCTTTTTAAAAATAGATTTTTGCCCTTACCATCTGCAGCAGTACAGCGAGAAGCCAGTTCCCACAGGACTAATCCCATGGCGTACATATCTATCCTCAAAAATGCATCCCTTTGGAAGTTTATAGCACCCTCTAATACCTCTGGAGCCATGTACCTCCGGGTACCAACCTGGAAAAGATGTTGAAAGCAAACAGTACTTATTCATTAGCTTTACAGACTAACATTTAATGATTTTGTAACAGAATCAAAACTAAATGTGGTCTAGTATCAGTGTAAAGTAACTTAAATCATGATTACTAGAACTTAAATCATGACCATGAAATTAACAGTAAGATCTTATCTGGGCATACTTAAAAAATCTGAAATATAGCAGATAACAGATAATATGCTGATACAGCTTGGAACTTTTTTTCTCCTCTTACTGAAAGTCATTGCAAGAACTGAATCATGATTACCTCCTGGGACAAGGATGCAACAGAAGAAAGCTGAATCCTTCAACTGTACCTCTGGAAACTGCTTGAAACATATCATTACAAAAATAAAACCTGTTCTCAGGGAGTCTTGTTCTCTGTTAAAACTAAATATTATAAAATGTTGACAGTGAATGAACCAAGTAAGAGATGGATAAACTTTTAAAATTAAAGAGCTCTATTTGTACAAAATCAGTGTATCTATTTATTCACGAATTCTTCTTAGAGTCCTTTATTTATATCTGTCCTTAACAATTTGGTATTTCTTAGTACTGTAACCATGGTTACTAAGCCAGCACAGCTTTTGGTTGGTGCTTAACAACAGTCATATCTGAAATGTTCTAAATTAAAAAAAAAGTCTTTGTGAGGGAGCTGGGTAAACCAAATCTAACTGAACTTGAGTAAATTTAAGGAACAGTTCAGACAGTGGTACCTCCCAAAAGCTCCATCCATGGGCAGCTGCAATCAAATGCCTCTCTCTAATATATATATATAATAAATATTATACATGTGTGTATGTATATACACATATATATATATACACATACATACACAAACACACACATAGAACAGAACTTTTTAAAATAAGGACAAATCATTAAGACCATACAGTTCAAGTTTAACTCAGATCACTTTAAAGATAGAAAAACAAGCTCTTGCCAGCCTACTTTAACTGCACTAAAACAATTTTTTCTCAAATACTATGGTATGGCTTATCATTTTAGTGTAAAAAAAACACTTTTTTGTTTTTTATAAATCAACAGTAGGCAAGATTTGAATTTCTTCCCCAATATTATAAAAGGTGCAGTATGTAACTCCATTCCTACAGCTGTGGAACTTTGTCGCCCAGAAAATCTAACATAAGGGCCACTGCTACAAGCAATTAGTTCCTCTGACCTCTTCAGGTAACTCAGTCCTGAGAAGTTAAAAGACACATGGATGGAATCCCAAACTTTTTCCCAAATAACAGGAGGTCTCATGAAATATCAAAGGACTAAACAGTCCCCTAAATTTAGCACCATGATGTATTAACCATCATGTGTTCCTAGGCTTCCTACCTCATCTCCATTTCAGCAGTATTTCTCTACAAAGCAATCTCTATTCCCAGATGTCTTACATCATGTTCACTGTCAACTTTTCTACAGCTATAAAAACCACTAACCGGGCCTGGCGCGGTGGCACAGTGGTTAAGGTCCTCACCTTGCACGCCCGGGATGCCATATGGGCCCCGGTTCTATCCCAGCAACCCCGCTTCCCATTCCAGCTCCCTGCCTGTGGCCCGGGAAAGCAGTCGAGGACAGCCCAAAGCTTTGGGACCCTGCACCCCCGTGTGGGAGACCCGGAAGAGGCTCCTGGCTTCTGATCGGCATAGCATTGGCCGTTGCGCTGCGCTCACTTGGGGAGTGAATCATCGGACAGAAGATCTTCCTCTCTGTCTCTCCTCTCTGTATATCCGCCTTTCCAATAAAAAATAATAAAAATAAATCTTTAAAAAAAAAAACACTAACCATTGTTCCAAATTTAAGGAAAAAAAGGAAAATGCACAGAATTAGCTAACCAAATAATATACATGATTCAATTTTGTAGAAATGTCACTTTTCTGGTCAAACTGGTTTAATTTCTTTTTTAAGATTTCTTTATTTTTAATTGGAAAGGCAGATCAGATTTATGAAGAGGAGAGACAGAAAGATCTTCCCTTTGCTGGTTCACTCCCCAAACTGCTGCAATGGCTGGAGCTGAGCTGATCCAAAACCAGGAGCCAGAAGCTTGTTCTGAGTCTCCCATGTGGGTGCAGGGTCCCAAGGCTTTGGACCATCCTCCACTGCTTTCCAAGGGTACAAGCAGGGAGCCGGATGGGAAGCAGGGCCGCCAGGATTAGAAGCGGCAGTCATACGGGATCCTGGCATGTGCAAGGCAAGGCCTTACTCAAGCCATAAGCAAGGACTAGGATAGGAAGTGAAAGCAGCTGGGAATGAACTGCCACATGGGGCCAAGGAGCTTGCAAGGTGACGATCTGGTCACTGAGCCAGGTCAATGACCACACCAAACTGATTTTCTTGAATAAAAGGTGATCTATGCACCTAGTTTCTAAGAATAAATAAACGGATGGTGTTTGTATTGCCTCTCTGACCTTCCTGAAGTTTTCACATCTGAGATCTTTTTGTAGAGTCACTTTTAACTAGTATCAGACACCTCAACCATGGAGTTGTAAAACTCCTATGAAAAACTGAAAGAACTTGAAAAACCACTGCACCTGGGACATTGGTTTAATTGGCTAATCATCCCCCTGCAAATGCCAGGATCCTATATGCACACAGGTTTGTGTCCCAGCTGCTCCACTTCCCATTCAGCTCCCTGTTTATGGCCTGAGAAAGTAGCAGAGGATGGCACAAGGCCTTGGGACCCTGCATCGGCATGAGAAACCTAGAAGTTCAGCTCAGCTCTTGGCCACTGCAGCCATTGAGGAGTGAAGAAGCAACTGAACATCTTTCAGTTTCCTTCTCTCTTTAAATCTGCTTTTCCAATTAAAAACAAATACACAAATCCTTAAAAGAAAAGAAAAAAAGAAAGAAAGAAAAGCCATCAAGCTCATTTAAGAGTTAAGGAATCAAAAGCAAGAAGAGTTGTATGGAAAACTGGGCAAAGGATCTTAAAACACTTCAGCAAGAACAGTAATGGAATAGTCTTTCACTCCTCTTAAAGACATTGAAAGAATCAACAGTTAAAACCACAGAGTACTAAGGACTCCCTAAGAAAGAGGTATATTAAGGGGTTCTGTTTTCTTGTTTGATCAGCATTTTTAAAAAGCATCTCATGGCATTCGTGTGAAGATTGTTTTACCAAGCACTCAATTCCCCCTTAGCTTCCACCACCATGTACAATTCCCTTCATATTTAACACACAACTCCGTCAGACATTATTTAATCACCGCTTCCACAATTTTAGACTATCTCAATTCTGCTATGTCACTCTAAGAAAATGTGAAACTGCTTATTTCTTCTGAAATTTCCCATCACAATCCTTACCTGTCCATGGGTATCACCTGCAGATTTGCCAGCCTCAAACTTTAATGCCAAGCCAAAGTCAGCAATGCACGCTGTCAGATTGTTTTTTAACAGCACATTTTTACTTTTGATGTCCCTTACAAAAGAGAAAAAGTATTCAAATTAAGCTTTTAAATGTTACCTTTTGAAACTTTTTTATTGAAAATGTGAAAATACACATGCTGCAAAGAGCTACTTAAAAGCATAAACCACTGCAAAAGGGTCAGAAGAAGCATGCGAGTCCCACAGAAGCTGAAGCACGAACGCTGCCCACCACAGGGCAGCAGGAGGGAATCCTCCCCATAAGGCAGTTTTCTAAAGACCATGTCATTTGTACGACTCCACCTACCAACCATAAAACTGAATTTTGTTAAAACAATAACAATATTTTGGACTTAACAGTTAAAAACTTCAGCAGGATCAGAAATAAAAAGCCAAAGAATTTTCAAAAACATACCTCAAATTGAGCCTTTTGCCTACTGGCAGACACCTATAGCTTAGAATGGTCCCTTACTATCTTTGCTTTTATATTCATACACCTGGTTGTAAACAGGCATCTCTAGGAATATTAATGAATAGGAAAATTTTTACCATATGCACATACTGCTCTAACTAGATCCTGGGGATCCAAAAACGGTAACTAAAGCAATTAAGCCTCTTTCTCTACATATTCTTGAGGTTACAATTAAAAGCATGTAGTTAAATTCGTGCATACACAAATACCTACACCAAAAATGAGACAGAGGGCCCAGCACGGTAGCCTAGTGGCTAAATCCTCACCTTGCACCCACTGGGATCCCATATGGGCACGGGTTTATGTAGCAGCTGGTCCACTTCCCATCAAGCTGCCTGATCATGGCCTAAGAAAGCAATTGATGACAGCCCAAAGCCTTGCGACCCTACACCCACAAGCCAGAAGACCTGGAGGAAGCTCCTGGCTCCTGGCTCCTGGCTCCTGGCTCCTGGCTCCTGGCTCCTGGCTTCGGATTGGCTCTGCTCCGGCCATTGTGGCCACTTAATGGAGTAAACCATCGGATAGAACATCTTTCTGTATCTCCCTCTCTCTATAAACCTTTTTAGTTTAAAAAAAAAAAATGAGATAGAGGGACAGATTCTAAAAAAAACTCTTGATAAATTTTGTACAAATCAGTTTTAAACTCAAAAGATTTCCAGGGTCTCTCTTCTCTTTCCAAAAGCTATTCAAGGGATCGAAAGGATAGCGTTCCCTTTATGGCTATGGTAGGACAAGAAACAGCCAGCGAAAGTGATTAGACTGTATATTGGAAGATGAAAACAATGGTGGGTGCTTGCTGAGAAATAAGTTATTAAAAGCTTGGATGATCAGAACCCACGTATTAGAAGTGTATTTAAGCAATGCCTCTCAGCAACATCAAACACCACCTGGTGGCATTTATTACACATCTGCTAAGTCACTGCAGTTAGAGCTGACTCTGAAACCAACTATCTTTAAACTGCAGATAACATGCCGAATCCAATGTTCAAGGAATCTATCACTGGTAAATGGAATCCCATATTTAACACAATTGAGCCTAGCACAATTTCTTCACTGAACAACTGTTAAAATGATGTCTCCCTTTACATTATTAGCTCAAGGTGAAAATCATGTATCATTAAAACCACAAGCAAAGATCAAGTCTCTTTTACTTATATCCCCTGATCCCACTGCCATTTTTAAAGTAAATCATGTTTTAAAGCAAAATAAAAATTCTCCCCTGAGATACAGAAAATACACTTTTTTAGAATCCTGCTTTCAAAATGGAGACAAACCCCAAGGACATAAACAACTTCAGTTAAAAGGAATTAAGTTTAAAATGTATTTGTAGAGTATTTTTCATAATGCACATTTGAAAAATTTCTAGAGATCCTTCATACATATATTAAAATAAAACTTCTGCACCAAAATTAATTTCTTTTTTAAAGCCATTTTTCACCAGCTTCTTGTAGCACCCTCACAATTCTTGGCCAGTCTTGAGGTCAATAAAAAAAAAAAAAAAAAGAGAGAGAGAGAAAGAAAATCTGCCTTGATAGTATGACTGAATAACTAGGGAAAAGTAATTTTCACTCCAAAAGTTTAAAATTAACATAACATACCTATGCTAAATTACATTAGAAAACAACAAAAACAACATAAATACAGCTCTACCTGTGAGATATGGCGGGTTTGTGGCCATCTTTTAGGCCAGGTATGTCCTCGTGTAAATATGCCAGTCCTCTTGCCATTGTCTCTGCAATATGACACAATTCGTTCCAAGAGACCACATTAGCCTTGAGGAAGTCTGACAGTGAACCCTAAAAAAAGGAGGGGGAAAAACAAAACAAGCAAGTTAAGCTCTTGACAAAGTTACAGGGATAAGCTAGCTATAAGATCCTGGAAAATGGAATTGCTTTAAAAAAAAAAACATATCTATGCATTTGTCTCATAATACATATTTGAAGAACTTCTTCAAACATAAATAATACACAAATTAACCTTAGTTATGTATGCTTTTTAAAAATTTCTGTACAAAATTGTGTTTTAATTACATTTTCCATAAGCCTTTTTAAGTATACACACGTTTTAGTAATAATCACCTTCTAAGCTAGAGAAAGATCAAAGACTGTGTACATTTCCCGACTTCTTTTCCCATCAGTCTAGATTGATGTTAGGGTTGTGAGACAGAAATATGAAGTTGAAAGAACAGTTTATATAATCAAAACAGATTATGAATCATATGAAAATTATCAAGCATTATCTATACAAAAAATAAGTATTTATAAAAGAGGTAAATTCCTGCACAAGAAACCAGGAAGAAAAGTCAGTATCAATTATATCAGCAGACTGCTCTTGGCCTTTTGGCTAAGATCAAGAGTAATAATATTGGCAGACAGGTTAAAATGGCATCATCTTTGCTCTTCAACTAAGTCATTCTGAAAGAATGACTTACATATTCAAGTTAAATACTAACTGACTATAATAATGTGGTATCTCCAAACTTAAGACTCGAGGTTTGTGTTTCAGCACCAGTTAGGCGGGGCGACTCCGATTTTACTAAAATAAATTAGTAAGCGGCCTCACCTTCTCATGAAACGCAGTGATCAGCCAGAGATCCACATCGACACTGGTGCCCCGTTTTTCGGCACCAATGAACTGAAGTATATTCTCGTGCTTCATCCCTGGCAAACTGTAGACCTCGTATTCATTTTGCCATGACTGTTTATCCTGGAGTTTAAAAAAAGAAAAAACAGTGAGAAGGCAAAGAATAAAGGTTAATAAACCATGTTTGGGAGATTACTCAAATTCCAAAGTAAAACAAAAACCCACGTATTAAAAGACTGTTTAGTCATGCCCTACTTTTTAATGAGCAAAAACTCTTGACAACAGGTGAAAGCTCCATGTTAAATGTCTGTGCTGCTCCAATCCCTCAGAACGGCTTTCTCTGTGTTGGTAGTTTATAAACACAGGAGAATCACAAGTGCTGCGCCGCTCCTCCTGACAACAGCAACATACCACTACTACAAGTTTCAGATTTGAAGTGTCTTGTATTATTATTGAGGATACTATTCCTGAAAAATGGAATTCAGATGGAAGGACTTCACCTAAATCCAAGCAATTTTTTCAAACACACTTTCAAAAATGTGTAACATGCCTTGTTAAGTCAAGGAGAGAGCAAGGAGCATAAACACAATATGACAATGTAGGCACCACATGCTTTAAGCCTACAAGTGGTCAATGTCAGCTACATATCAACTCAGGAGAAATAACGTATTCACTAAGAAAGCCACAAATGCTAAAGAATAGGAATGAGGGACCCAAACTAAGTTTAAATCCTAGCTCTCCCATGAACCTTTAGCAAGTTACATAAACATTATCACGTTTTCTCTTAAAAACCAGGATTTGTAGTGTCTGTCTCAGAAGGCTGTTGTATTACATATATAAAAGGGCAATATAAGTGAGCGAGAATTCCCACAGGTCAAACACATCAACCTAACACAGAAAGCACTCAGTAAAATGTGAGCTGCAATTACTATCACTCTTAAATTAACATTATCCCAAATGTCCATCTACAATGTTAAGATATTGCAGGTACTGAAATAATTCTGCCCTGATCTCATTTACAAATCCTGGCAAAACAAAATAAACTCTTTCAGAGCTATACTGAATTTACTATACTGTACTTTGGAGTTATCTGCATTGCTAACCAAAAAGAAAGGCAATACACCTGCTTCACAGATTCTGTGAGAGAAGCTTCATGGAACGTAAGGATGCTAAAATCTAAGCAGATTTAAGGCAGAAATGGCTTAAATCTTTGGAATACATGACAGTCACAGTCCAGGTGGAGTGCTAGAACCTGCATCAGCTAATCCAGGCACCACCTCAATCGTTAGGAGCTAACATGTGTCTACGCATCAGGGAACAAGAGAAAAGGCACTTCAGAGGAGCACTGGATCAGAATTTATGAGAGCAACAGCCACCTTTGAAAGAAAAGCAATCCAATCCCAAATCAAGTATTTTGAGTCTAGATTGTATGCCTCTGAAATTTTACCAAATAACAACAACAACAAATTACCTATTCAAAGTGCAATGAAAACAAGGCAATCTGGTAATATACCTCTAAATATTATTTCTAAACAAAAACATACTACTCTTTGCTCTTATGTTTACTTCTGCTGAAAATGTAAAGGGGATATTAAAATTTAACCATTAAGAAAATTAGGTTTAACTTAATTGGAATCCTCATCTTGATTCAGCATATCTGTGGATTTCCTACTGGCAAAAGATATCCGTACATGTTCACTCTATGTAATTCCAACACTTCAAACAAGCATAATGATTGGTTTATTAATAATTCCATTTCTCACAAAGAAAGGCAAACCCAAAAGCCAAATGCTTTTCCCAAGTCTAAAAAGAACCACGGTAGAAGATCAGGTCTGTATTTACAGGCTTTCTGATTTAAAAATAATATATCCAGTTCTGTATTTTAGAAACATATATGCAGTTAGGAAAACTGTAGGAAACATACCTGTATTGGAAATATCTTGACAGCCACATATTCATTGAGCAACTGGGCTTTCCAAACACAACCAAATCTTCCCCTTGCCTTTACTTCTAGTAACTGCAGTGGCTTCAAACCTAGTAATGGAGAAGGTGGGGGTGGTCCTGGGTCCTAGAGATAAACAACGATAATTCTGTAAGTAAGCAGAATGTACCACCTATCAATTCTGCAAATGAGGAAGAAAGTCGAGTTACTGAATAATCAACTGACAGAAACAGCAAGCACATGGAAGACATAAGCGTCAGTCTTTCCAGAAGTGAGCTCTCTCCAGCATCACTAAATACCAATTGCAATCACAAGGCAGGCAGCTTGATTTTTTCATAATTACTCTTTTGGTACTACTGCTATATCCTTACAGCAGGAGAAAAGATTCAAAAGGTTTTTGGTTCAGTCTCACTATTTTTTCCTAATATTATTGTCTGAGAACTTTAGAACAGCCCTACTAGTATTTCACTGGTTTGTACTAGTTATAATTCCTTGGAGGACAAGGATTTGAAAATCACCAGAAACAGCAGATCACAGCTGTGATTCAAAGCAGACAAGCTTCAAATTTCAAACTCACTACCTTCTCTAGTGACTATTTCAGTTTGTTTTTCCTTCATTAAACTCAGAAATACGAATAACATTTTTAATCATTCTGCAGCAATGTATAACAAGTACAAAATGCTTCAAAGAAATACACGGTGATAGCCAAACCGCTTTGTTTATTCTAACTATTCAACACAATGACAATTCACCCCTTTTCTCATAATGGTTTCCCAAAATTGCTCTGACATGAAAGTGACTTCTGTTTCTGGGGCTGATGGGCAAATAAAGTACAAATAAAATCCCGAAAAAGAAGTGGTCATCACAGTAGAGAAGAAGATTTGGTGAGTGAAAGAGAAGTAAACTGCTAATGGTTTTCAGGAGCACACATACAGCATGTCAGTAAGAGAACTGAGCACTGCAGGTACAGTCGCAAGGGAGAACTCGCCATGTAAGGCAGAATGGCAATACTTCATTGAGAGCATTCCATCAGTTCATTATCTGCAATTAACGCAAGAAGCCTTTTGGAAGTCTTCCAGTACAGGCCTTGGGAACATCTCAAGAGTTGTTCAGCGAGTACCGTGAGGAGAACTGCAATTTCTGTAGCAAGAACGACAGTGATGAAGAGACTAGCTGGCACCTCAATCGCTTGGGAATGGTATGTGTCACCCTGGATCAACATACCTCCCCAGGCTCACCCCAAGGACCAGTAAGACTTTCTGTGGGCATAATTCAGTCCATGGTGCCACTCTGGAGTTTAAAAAGTTTATGTCTACATTAAGAAGGTCAACAATGACACAATCATTATAAGATACTAAATGATGGGGGAGGGAGTAGTAGTCCCCAGGAGACGGGGGGATGGCGGCAGAAACAACTGTAATTTCTCCTGAACTAGATCTTCAGAAAATGGCAGGAAATTCCCATTTTAAAGCAGTAAGATAAATTTTAAGAATTACTGTGACTCATTTCAGAGATATTTATTTTAAAATCTATGCAAAGTTATTTTCCTTTCAATTGAAAATAAGGAGTCAGTAAAGCTAACATGTTTTCATTTAGCAGACAAGTCAAATAGCAATCTTTTAATTCTTGGTGGGAGAGGGACATAAGAATCTCTGTAGAGTTTTGTTTGTTTTGTTTTAATAAAAAAACACTCTATCTCATTCTTCAATGGATCAGTCCTACCTGTTCTAAGAGACTACTGATTCAGAAATACTGCTTCAAGGAAAGTGGAGATGGGAGAGAGGATTAAAAATCACTTTTCCAGAAGGAAAGAAAACCATTCAGTACTCATGTAAAAATGCAATTACATAACAGCCTTAAGGAATCTTTAGGCTACACATTAAAAGAAAGACTTTTCAAAGCAGGGAGGCCAAAAATTAAATCATACAGGTATGGCCTGAAAGCCGAAGACAAAAATAACCAACAGGTATTACAGCTCTAAACTGAAACACTGTGATGTTTAGTAACTTGTGTATAAATTGATATTCTCTAGATCACACACACACACACTACCTATCCTGTTATTCTACAAGTGCTAACAACATGGATTGATTCAATCTATAAAAATAGGATGTGTCTTAATCCCAATCTCTAAGAAAATGTCAGCTACTGGGCCCAGCGCGGTGGTGCAGTGGTTAAGGACCTCGCCTTGCACGCCCGGGATCCCATATGGGCCCCGGTTCTATCCCAGCAGCCCCGCTTCCCTTCCAGCTCCCTGCTTGTGGCCTGGGAAAGCAGTCGAGGACAGCCCAAAGCTTTGGGACCCTGCACCCGCATGGGAGACCCGGAAGAGGCTCCTGGCTTCGGATGGGCATAGTATCGGCCGTTGCACTCACTTGGGGAGTGAATCATCGGATGGAAGATCTTCCTCTCTGTCTCTCCTCTCTGTATATCCACCTTTCCAATAAAAATAATAATAATAAAAATAAATCTTTAAAAAAAAGAAAATGTCAGCTACTAAAAGTATAATTTCATAAAAAACAACAAAGTTACCATAAGTTTTCAAGGCTCTATTCAGCAAATTCCTAAGCCATCACTGTTTCAGAAACAACTCCTGGATTACCCTCTCAATATAGCAACTATATTCAATATTGTATTGTAGTAATTAAAAGATAGTATTGTCAAAAATTACTTTAAATTCGTAAGCTTTATCAAAAAACAATACTGGCCAATTTTCCAAGAATGAGAGAAAGATCTATCTACAAAAGCACATTCATGCAGAGTGTCAAAGCCTTTAGAAACACACAGTGTTTTTAATGTAATTTGAAGAGGTATTTAGAGGTAACACTTCAATGTCATCTGAGAAACATGTCTTTGCTCTGCTACCCAGAAACTGTTTTTACTGGGATAGTTAGAAGGACTCCAGAATTTCTAAGACCTATACTCAGGCCTCCAGTTCCTTGGCAATATCTCAGTTGCTTTGCAACATTAAAGCAACAGGTATTAGAACATGACCCTGGTTACATTTATTTCTTATTTGCATGTGAAGACCACAGCATTAGAGGATTTTGTGTTGAGAAAACATTTTGGAATGAAAGTGACAGGAAAACAGAGCCTTCACTCCAATGCTACCATCCCATATTGTTACTCTAATCAATAAGGAAGATACGATTCAAGGTGGGGGGCCACTGCAAAGTTACCAGTGACCATTCTACCTCTTCCACAAGCTCCACCTGAAGGCTGAATTCTGCTCTAACTATAGCCTGGAGCCTCCAGAGAGCTCATCAGCGCTCAGTTGCACCTCTGCACCCACTTCCTCCGCCGAAGACAGCAGCAACAGAACTAACCTAAAATACGGAGTTCACATTAAAAGAAAATGCAATGGATCACAAAGCCAACCCATGTTTAAAATCAGTATATACTGGCCTTTAAGTTAATTGCACATTATAAAAATTAGCCAATATGAGCTTTTTAAAGGCTAACAGAGCAATTAGGCATCAATTTCTAATCCTGTAAGATAGCTGTTTGTATCTTCCACCTCAGATAAGTATAAATAATGTTAATAATTCTTTGAAACAAAAAGCTGTTACTATGTCAAATCAATCCTATTTTTAATACTAAAGAGAAGAAAAAAACTTTTATAACACAAATTTGTTAAGTGATATCGGATGCACAGAAAAGTAATAATAACAACAAAAATCTAAGGACAAGATGATTATAAGGCATCCACAAAAGTTCCACAACCATGAGCAAACATCAATGCATCTTACCTCTATCATTATATGAAAGGCATGCTTGTGAAGAAAAAACACAGGCAAAAGAAATTATGATTTATATCCAGAATGAAATGAAAAATGACACATAAGTTACAAAAGTGAAGAAAGAGAATAATGATTTAGCTCTTTAAGATCTTGGTTGTGATCAAATGTATTGTACTTTTAAATATGGATTTGGACAACTTCCCTTAAAAACATAGGAAAGTAGCATAAGAAATCTTGGTTATTACCTACTAGATTAGGGAATAATAAATAAATTCTTGACTCTAACATAACCCAAGTTATATGATCCTATAGACTTGAAGTCAACACATGAACTTACTTATTTTCTGAGAGATGATCTATGTATTTTTTCTCAGATCTAGAGTCTAGAAAATTCAAAAGGCAATTTAACCAAAGACGTGTGTTACATCAGGCTTCTGGTCAGCAGAGGGCAGCATTGCCTTTGATAAAATCAGCTCTGCGCTGAAGAAATTCACAGAAAGCTAGAATAAATCTTTAAGACCACACTTTCTGATAGCTGTTTTTAAGACTGAAACTCTGTAATTTGCTACTTCCTGACCTGCCTCATTCTCTTTTCATGGAGGACAGCAGAATTCTACTGCTGACAAAAATGTTCTTAGTGGCTATTTCATTGTGTACAACATAAATAATGCACCATGGGAAGAAAATAAGATGAGGGAAGAACAAGATCATCAGATTTAAACAGTGACAGACAAGACTTATTTTTAACCTATATACTCAGCCACATCAAGTAAAAAAATGTGTTCAGTGATGATCCTGGGAATGGGCATACATATTCATCATAACTTAAGGCCACTTCAACACTATTAGAGAATAAGATTTTCATTTTCAGTCATCACAAAACAGGTAAAAGCCAAAGCTGAAGATTAACAGAAATCCTGTCACTAGAGTGAAGAAGGCAGGCTAAGAACCCCTCCAACACATGACTTTATTCTCCAGTTTGCAACATTTCTAGAGAACATATAGCACTGACAAGAACTGCCGACTCATTTATCATGCCCCTTGCGCCTTGGTTATTTTTCCTTCCTGATATTTTCCTGTGAGAATGATTCAGGGCTGGGGTAATTCATCCGAATGGCTGAGATGTTCCTACTAGCCAAACTTCAGTACTCCAGAGCAGAATTCATCCCTTAAAACAAATGCAAGCCAACCGAGTGACTAAGGCTTCCCAAGGCTCAAGAATCTCTTTGATCTTGTGAAAATACAGGTGTTTTTGGAGATCAAGATGCCATGGACTAACATCCTGCAAGGAAGTACACCCAAACAGATAAATGCATTACAAGTTTAAAAAAAAATCCTCACTCAATACACTTCTCAGCAAACCAACATTAGAGTAAGCTACCAAGA